AAGTTAGTGCAACAATTACACTATGAAAAGCTTTCTGTTAGAAAAACTTAGAGATGTTTCTCTCCTCTATAGGAAGATGATTTCAGTATCTCTCCCCACTTGATACTTTCTTGTAGAGCTTTCATTAGTTTCTTGTATTTCTTATTATTGTATTCCTTGTATAAATATTCATGAAAGTTATCCTCACAATATATATTAATTCATTAACATAGACCACTTAGGAGGATTTGAGTTGACATGCATATAAATGGACCTCAATTACCTGTATATTTCAAATAAGTTATCTAACCCAGTAGTCACAAATACATTATGTTATTATATCATTTACTCATTTCTTTTGTGACCTCTTGGTCATTTAAAACCAAAGGCATTTTTAAGAGCAGTTAGTTGATCAAATAAATCCCTCATTTATATATTAATTCAGCAAATGTTAGCCTTTAAGTCAAATATATTCTATTTTTGGCTAAGAATTGTTTTATCTGCTAGGTCTATGTATTTGTAGAAATTTCTAGATCTTGTGGTATATTTTCTATGTGAATATTTCTATACCTTTTTCCTAATTATTTAAAGTTTTTGGTGTTATAAATTAATATTTGTGCTTCCATTTGATCTCTGTGGCATTGTTTCTTCAGTGTTTAGCACTATGAAACGTTATCCTCTTCTTTTACAATGTTGAAACCCTCCATGTCCAGCTAAGGCAAGAGCCTCACTGGAGTTCATGTTTTAACCTAATGAGCTTTCTTTACATTTTAAACCAGTCCTATATTTTAGCATAATAAAGTAGGGGGAAAGCATGATTTACAGTTTCCTATCTTTAACTGGCATTTACCTAAGAGACATTTTGATTCTTGATTTATATGATACTCAGTTTCTAGGATTGGATCTGCCAATAATCCTCTCAAATTTTTAAAAAAGTCTTTAAAAAAACTAACTCAGGTTTCCCATCAAAAAAAGAAGATTAATGTCTTCCCTAGCTTATAGGGTATTATGAATCAAGTACAAATAAAATAGATTTTAAAATGCCTTGAAAAGATAATAATAATGACAGTTGCCATGATGATAGTTGCTGCCATTTTCATACTGTGGACCAGGCCCTGCACTATGGGCTTTCTCTGTTCTCGCTCTTGATGGTTGCAGTTTTCTTGAGGAGAGTTAATACTATCTCCCTTTAAAAATGACTGAAGGTTGCCAGAGGGGAAGGGAGTTAGAGGGGAAGGGTGAGAAAGGTAAAGGGATTAAGAAGTACAAATTGGTAGTCATAAAATAGTACTGTGTAAAGTACACAGGGAAGTACACAGGGATGTAAAGTACAACAGAGGGAATATAGTCAATAATAAGTGTATTAACTATGTATGTTACCAGGTAGGTATTTGAAATATTGGGGAGAACACTTTGTAAAGTATATGATTGTTTAACCATTATGCTGTACACCTGAAACTAATACAAAATAATATTTAATGAAAACTGTAATTTAAAAGTAAAAAATTTTTAAATGATTTTATTTATTTTTAAGAGAGAGGGGAAAGGAGGGAGAAGGAGAGGGAGAGAAACATCAAAGTGTGGTTGCCTCTTGCACACCCCCTCCTGGGGACCTGGCCTGCAGCCCTGGCGTGTGCCCAGACTGGGAGTCAACCAGGGATCACTGTGGTTCACAGGCCGGCACTTAGTCCACCGAGCCACACCAGCCAGGGCTAAAAATAAAATTTTTTAAAAATGATAAGGTATTTGAGGAATTCAAAGGGAAGGAATAGTTGCTTCTGGCTGATTCAGGAAACACTTTCTGGAGAGGTGATATTTTGGCTGTCCTCCAGCATTCATGGAAACGTCCTTCTGGCACACAAATGGCGTTTTATGTACCATGCATTTAATTGCACAACAGTCTTCTTCAATTGTAAAGCAAGTATTCTCTTGTGCTTAGACCGAGAGCTTGCTTTAAATACATAATCTGTCTTAGGTTGCCTCCTGCTTTCTTCTCCCTCAAAAGGGAAATTACACTGTCGTATTTTCCTCAGAGAAGGTAGGCCACTGGTTTCTCCCTAAGGCTGTGTTAGAGGTTCTGTAGCAGAGATGTTAGAGTAGTGTGTGTTGTTCCCAGCCCTGTGGTGAGGTTAAGATAGTACCATCATTATTCCTGCCTAAACCTGTTTAGTCACCAAGCATGCTACAGTTTACCGTGTAGTGATAGTATCATAAAGTGTGTTTATTCCACAGGTTATTTGGTGCAACAAATCTTGAACAGAATTTATAGATATTGCAAATATTGTCAGGATTTATCAAAAAATCTTCAAAGAAACTAGTTAAGCATAATGATTCATCTTAATAATAGAGGTTTTTCTGCTGTAATACTATTTATGTGTTTCTGCAGTATCTTGCCTTTTATAAAATCTGCCAGGGTCTATGGGAATTTTAGGGTTGGGGCAGAACACTGAAAACCTATGTCACTTTTTAATCAGAGCTGCACAAGGCAATAAACAGTACCTGAAGAGAGAACTGATGCTGCTTAGGCAGGCAGCTGAGCATAGCTGAAGGCTGCCCCCAACAAGTATAGCCACACAGCAACAAGAGTGTGTGCTCAGCTGGCACACTTGATGCTCAGGACAGCAGATTGCCCTGAAGCTCTGGATGGCAGCTTCTGCCAGTGGTTGAAGGGTGGGAGGGCAGGCCTGGTACACAGTGTTGAGGATGAGCCCTGAATACAGGTACAAGTTTTAAAAATTCTTAAAATATATCCAAAAATGCACATGTGGTTAATTCGGCCCCTGAACCTAGGGCTTTTTCCCTTTGCTAAAGACCCTAATTTTCCACTACTCCTCTAGCTGCCTTGCCCAGGGTAAATGGTGTATGGAGCAAAGTAACCTCATGTTGTCTCAACTTCTTTTCCTATTACCAACTGAGGATGAGCTACTTTTTATTAAAGAAACCCCTGTAGTGAAGAGCAGAGTCAGTATTCACTTCCTAGTCAGTGCCTTTCTTTAATACTTGTTTTTAGTCTGACACTCTCCTTCCCCATACTGACTAGCTTAGCATTGTGCTTGTTCATACCCTTCCCCCATTCCATTTCCTTCCTTATGTTAAGAAATAGAAGGAAGATAGATATATACCTCAGGAATTCAAGATAGTGCTCTTGGGGAGGTGCTGTAGCCTTGCTTAATATGGGAACACATTATAGACACTTAAGAGAAAGGAAGAGATGGAAAATTTGGGGTTGCTTAGAAAATGAGAAAAATAAACCTAAGGAAGGAAGAAATGGAAACAAAATTAAACTATGTAACTAAAGACTTGATACAATTTAAACAATAATTTTTTTAAAAAATATTTATTTATTTGTAGAGAGAGGGGAAGGGAGGGAGAAAGGGAAGGAGAGAAACATCAATGTAAGAAACACTGATTAGTTGCCTCTCATATGTGCCCTAGAGACCAAACCCACAACCTGGGCATGTGCCCTCACCGGGAATCAAACCAGTGACCTTTGGCTTTGCAGCATGATGCCCAACCAACTGAGCCATGCCAGCCAGGGCTAAACATTAATTTTTATTATTCACTATTCACCATTTGGCTAAAGTAGTGAAGAAACTCATATTAGTGTGTTATTAGGAAGACACTATACTAGATACTTAACATTTGTAATCTCATTTAATTCATTTTTTAAGTTAAAAAACAGTTAATAGAAAAACCATAAGTGTATTCCTCTCCTGGAATTAATAACACATTTTAATCTTTTGGGTTTTTTTGATTCACATTTTTTTAGTAACAGAAACAAAAGGACAGATAAGTTGGAAATCCCCCGAGTTTCCTTCCTGTGTTACACTTCTCCTTTTCTCTCCTTGAATACAGTGGATATTGCAAGTTTTCTATGTATCCTGCTAGTCCATATTTACATACTTTTATTACAGAGGAATTTGTAATAATACAGGGTGGGGCAAAAGTAGGTTTATAGTTATTCTTATGGAAAATAATGCAATAATCAATAAATAATAATTCAAGAATTAACTGTGTTTCACGTACTCACAACTAGCAACTGACTTTTGCCCAACCCTGTATTCTATGAGTTTCTGTGTTTTAAAAAAATAACATTATCAGTATCATATTCTACATATCTTGTGTATCCCTTCTTCATTTTGAGATCTCCCTGTGCTGATACATATAGATATGGTTCACTTATGTTAACTTCTGTATAATGTCCTATTGATTTGTGCTGAGTCCAATTTTCTGCTCTTACAGACAATGCAGAGATGTGCATCCTTGTTTAGGTTTCCAAGTGCATGTGACGAGAGTTTCTGGATACATATCTAGGACTTCTGCCTTATAGGCCATGTGTACTGTCAACTTCATTTATCTCATTTAATTCTTAAAAATATTAAGGCTGGTGGCATGATCTCCATTTTACACATGAGAAAACTCAGGTGCTGAGATGTTGTATAACTGCATAAGAGAGGAAGTACTTGAATCCAGATCAAATTCCAACCATTGAAATTTAGAGCACCAACACCTACCATTCCACATGAATCATCAACTTTTAACCTTCATAATCGATCATAAAGAACAGTTGCAGCCAACCAGTCATACTGCATCATTTGAAAGTAGAGAATCAAAGCAGGTCATGAGGTAGAGGCAGCATATAGGAAAGCTGAAGGATCGATTAGGTAGCCATATTTCCTTTGAGTATATGGTTATCAAAAGGTTCAAGTTTTGGGGTTAAAACATGCTCTGTGAAATGGTCTGAGTTTTCTCTATGCACAAGACTATTTATTTATGATAGAAGACTATATTTTGTGTTGCTTAAAATACATTACATGCAACATGCAGTCTATTTTGCCTTTCAAAAACGATGTTACAGTGAGCATGTTAGAATCTGCAATTTACTCTGTAAAATGTACAGACCATTTTCTCTAGATGAAGAGAGCTAAGAGAACATAATCCTTTTGTTCATGACACTTTATTTGCACTTGAACCATATGTCTTTTAGACTTTATCTTTTTCTTTTGTTCTTCACCTTTCAGATAGCAGATCTGGTATATTAATTGTGAAAATTCTAGAGCTGCATGAAGAATGCACCATCCAAGTTGCCATGTGTGAGCAGTTAGTGGGACTGCAGGCTGACAGCCCTTCTCAAGGTGAGGCCTCTGGGACTGGCCTAAAGGTTCTCTTCACCAAGGAGACTGCACAGCATCTCAGGGGGCATCCCCAAGATGTCATCCATATCTACCCTCCCTGGTGAGTGTAAGTAACTGATTCCAGCAGTCACTAACTATGAGTTTGTCTCCAAAATGTTATCAGGGACGTTTTTGTCACTTTATTATAGAGAAATTCCAGGGAAAGGAGGCCAGGATTTGACATAGATTTCTTTGTAACAGAAGCACTAGATTGTCTCTAATGGCTTGTTTGTAGGGTTTGATCTAAGAAGCATAAATGGTCGTTAATGATTTAAAAAATTAATTTTAGGATATCATTTTTGCTCTTTTCTGCATAGGATATTTTTACCATGAAAAGAGGAAAATCTTACTTCTTTTGAGGGAAAGCTTCAACAGCCTTGTTTCAAAAGTTAACTGTTAATTTTATCAGCAGTTTTTAAAGGTTTCTTTCACCTGTTAAATTCTTAGGTTTGAGGTCACTTGTAGATCTTTAAATTAATCTTCTCTCCCGAAGGAGGAATATTTTTATTGTGTCTGTAGCAGGTGATCATGAGTCTCTACTTAAATCCTTCGATTACAGGCTGGGGATATCAGAGGGTGACTTGTTTTATCATTTTATTTTAATTTTAACACATTTTTATTGAACATTATAAAACATAAAGGACCATACACAAAGCATAAATACACATTTCTACGAATAATCACAAAGTGAATAGTAATTCATGTCCAGCCCAAGAGGTAGTATGCAGTTTGTACCTGGAACCCTATCCCTCTTCTGTTTCCTCCCTCTTCCTCCTTCCCCAGGTGACCGTGGTCTTGACTTCTGATGCAGTAGACTCCTTTGAATGTTTGAGAACTTTTTGTAAACAGAATCATTCAGTAGTCATACAGTATACCTTCTCTTTTGCTAGACTGCTTTCACTTAATATGCTTGTGAGATTTATCAGTTTTGTTGCATTTAGCATTTGTTCATTTTCATTGCTCTATAGTATTCTATTATATTAGTTTATGTAGTTAATTTATGTGTTCTTCTGTTGACATAGTTAACATATTGTGATTAATGGTGTAATGACCAACTGTCATTCTGTGTAGCTTACTCAAGAATACAGCACTACTAAGTGTGTTTTCCAAAGTTTCCTATCCTACATTCATGCATTAATTTTTCCATCATGTTAAAAAATTTTTTTTAAATTTGTCTTGACCATATATGTCTTCTTCCTTTTGGTTCATTCTTCTTCTTTGCTTAATAATAACATGCTTTGAGGAGTTATTGAACCACTGTGTCCAAATAGTGCCCTCTTTCCTGAGCTCACTTCATTCAGACTTTCGGCCCGCGCTCTCCCCACGTCTCACTTCTCGGTGTCAGCACTGAACTCCACCTCCATGTTGCTTCTTGAGTCCTCATTTGTGCAAGAGTCATGTTTCCCTTTGCAGTGCTCACTCCTGGTTTGTTTCCATTTCCCCTGTGTTCCTCTTCATACCTTTCCTAGCTTCTCAGTACTGAATGGCTGTCAGTCTTAGTCCCAGACTTTTTACTCACTGCACCACCTTGGTGATGTCAACTCATCTTGTAGCTCTAAATACCAGTTGCACACTAAAGAGTCACAAACTTTATCTGCAGCCCACACCTGTGTCCCATCACTAGAGACAAGTGCCTTACTGCCTCTCCACCCTAGTTTCACCTGTGTGCTGATAGTGTAGCAGGATCAAGCTCCTGACCTTCCCTCGCCTTCCTACAGTTTTTCCCATCTCAGAAAATGGATACAACCTTCTTGCCGTTTCTCCCGATATCCTGAACTCTTTTTTACTTATAATCTCCTCCTGCCCATGGGTACCTCCTAACACTCCACACAGGGCCCAGCATTTCTTGTTACCTCTAGTGTCATGACCCTTTCCAGGTAATCACTTTTGTTTGGATGATTGCAATAGCCTCTTAAATCATACCACTTCTTCCTTTCCTTCTGTTCCTTTTCAAGATAACTAGAGGAGCAGAACCGTGAATATATAAGTCATCATACTGCTTATAGGCTAGACATTTCACAGAAGCTGCTCACCTCATACAGTGTTAAAGCCTCTTCTGAGCTCTGGAACCTCGTATACTACTCCTGTCACCTCCCCCAGTTCCATTTTGGCCACCCAGGACTCCACCCTTGTCTTCAAATTTCATGCCATTCCTTCTGCTCTCACCGTGGGGCCTGGATTCCTGCTGCTCCGTGTGGTGGGAGGCTCTGTCTCACCACCTCTCCCTGTCTGCATGGTTTTCTTTTTTCTTATCTCCTCTAGGCATTTACTCAGCTGTTACCTTCTGAAGTGGTCCCGGATCCCATATCTGAAGTTGGAAACTATCTCTTCTACACCCTTTAGTTTACTTTTTTACTTTGTTTTTCATGATCACACATATTAAAGGTTGTCACTTTTTGTTTCTTCATTTGCTTATTGTGTGTCTTCTGCTACTAGATTTTTAACTGTCTCCTTTACTTCTTAGGGCCGAGGGCACTCAGTAGAACTTTAATATGGAATGAATGAGCAATTTTCTCATTGTCCTAACAGTGTTCTTCCTATCTAGAATCTTGTGCTGTAATTACTGGTGTTCTTTCAGCTGTTTTATTCAGCTGTTTAAAGTTATCAGAAGTCCTTACTGGAAGCTTATGGTAAAATCCAGTAATATTGCCAGTATTTGATTTTTTCCAGAGTGTCCTAGTTTTACCTTCTTTATCAACATATAACAGCCATTTATGTTTTAGTTTGGTGTACCTCAATAAAAAATGTGTTGAGTTTTCACAGTGAGCCACAGAAAACTCAAGTATAATTATTTTTGAAACTATCTTTACAAACATTAGTGAGCCCTGAATCCCTGGCCTTTGGTCTATATCTTTTCTTTAAATAAGCAGGTAAAGTTGAACTTTTAGAATCATTGTATAGGTCCCTATAGCATTGTAGTTCCTCTAGGTTTCCATACCTTTATATGTTTTTTCCTTCCCATTTCATTCTAAAAGTCTTTTCTATATTTTGCCATGTATAATGCACATCCACGTTTTTGGCCCAAACTTTCAGGGGGAAAAAGTCTTTTTGTTTTAATTTTTTCAATTTTTTATTTATTAATATTTAGGAACAAAACCTATTATTGTATTATTTTGCATACAGATATTGTTACTGCTTTCTAGAGTTGCACTTCTAACACATGAACATAAATAAAAGAATTAAAAACATTTATATAGATACAGAATTAGCACTACCCATGTATGATGTACATGCTTATTTTTCCCTCAAAAAATTTGGACAAAAAAGTGTGCATTATATATGGCAAAATACGGCAGTCGGTTTTTTAGTAGGCATTTAATACCTATGATACAGAAATCAAAAGTATCAAAGGCTATGCAGTGAACAGTGAGTCTTCCATACTTGTTCCCCCAGATACTCAATTCACATCTCCTAAGGCAGCCACTGATACCAGTTTCTTACACACCTTCCAGAGATGGGGTGTGAGGGGGGATTGTAATACAGTCACAGAACATGTATATGTATAGGTGAACTCACATGCTTATGTGTATGTATTTCCTGCCCTGCTCAGGGCAAACTGGCATTAGTTATAATGCTATCTGCAGATGGCTGCTACTTGTGCTGGGCTTGGAAGTGCCCAGAAGGGACCAAACTGCAAACCCAGGTCAGCTGCCACTAGTGCCAGGCTTAGGGCCACTTAGGAAGAGATATGGGGCATGCCATGGACAGATGCTGTTTGAGAAAAATTTAAGAAAGTCCAAGCATGAGCTAACATAGGCCTTTTGTATGGAAAAGCCACTGGAAAGCATTTAGGTGTACCTACAAGCCGTGTGGGGTCCCATCTTAGGGAATCACCAGGGTGGGAGATCAGTGGTAATCAGGTTGATGGAGACTCAGGTATGGTGCCCTTCTGCTGGCTTTGTCAGGGGGACAGCTCAGCAAAGGAACAGTGGCTTCTGTCAGCCCTTTTGCTCAAAAGAAAGCTGCCCCTCCAGCCTTCACCTTGATTCCAGACAATTCATTTTCTGCTTCTATACCCCGGTGCCTTTTGAGCTCCTGTCCCATAGCTGGAGCTCAGAGTGAGTAAGTCCAAGTACTTCTTTGTGAGGGCTCTTTAAAAGGAATACCTGGGATGCCAGCCACCCTTTGCCTCACATTAGCCACAATCCCTGCTGTTTTTCACAGGTAGAGGTATGAGGACTTTTCTTCCTGCCACTGGAAACCTGGGCTGGGAATGGGATCCCTTGCTCTTCATGGGGAACCTCCTCAGCTGATGTATCCCTCCCAACTTTTAACCACCACAGATGTGCGTGGGACCAGCCCATTTTGAGTCTCTGCCTCTCCTAGCAGTCTTAACATGGCTTCTTCGTTATATTTTTAGTTATAGGACTTCTATTTAGCTAGATTTCAGGTGGTTCTGAATGATGGCGGTTCTGTAGTTTAGTTGTAACTTTGATGTGGTTGTGTGGGGATGTGGGTACCTCATTTATCTTCTCCGCCATCTTCACTGCTGTGATTTCTTAAAATAGTTAAATAACCTGTAAACCACAGTAGAGTACCTGCTACTGATCAAATTGAATACTTGTCCTTATATTCATTTACTGATGACAGTTTCTCTTTTGCAAAGTGTTTTTTCTTTATTTCTGCTCATATATTTGTTGAGATGCTAGGGATTTTCTTATGTGTATGCCTGTTTTGTATAGTAAAAACATTTCTATTTATACTATGAAATCACCTAATGGTAGTATTTTCTTGTTTTAGTCCTAATACCTAGGCTTGTTTACATGTTTCATGTCTTATTGCATTTCCAAATCAGAACATTTTTTTACTGTTCCTAGTTACTGGGATAATGCTTGGCACATAGTAGACATTCAACAACTATCTGTTGAGTATTAAGATGTCATCAGTTTTATGTCCCCTCAATGACAGAATGTATCAATGTATTTTCTACATTTGCTAAGAAGCATTTATTGAATGTTTACTTTTTACATAAAAGACCTTTTACTAAATAATGGGATATAGTATTCAAAATAAATGACAAATCACCACTGTCCTTAAGGAGCTCACAACACAATGGAAGAG